AAATGGAAGGAGAAAGCTGGAAAGATGGGAGTGAGAAGAAGGTGCTTTACACAGTGACAAGTTGGGAGGACAAGATCATTAAAGGCAAGAAGGTCAAGGGATGGAGCCCACAGACAAAGATCTTCCATATTAATTCTGAAATCACTGTAGCTTCCAAGACCTTACACTTTAAAATTGTGTATGATACCGTAAGTCCGTTGATAATGCCCCCAAGACAGTTTACACTTGGATGTTCTGTTAAATACGGGCTTGAAGTGAAGAGCATCACAAAGTATGCTTCTTTTGCATTTGGACTATTTTGAGTATAAGGCAATTGAGAACCTGTGGACCATTGTAAAGTCCTTTATTTTTCCCCTAACTACCAACAAATAGAGTATCATTTATTGTTTTGTAAAGAAAATTTACATTTATAAAAGTATTTTCCATTTCTAAAGGTGTTTCCCCAAGATAGCTCTTTACCCCAGAAAGACTTATCTGTATTGTAGGACAAGGACACCTAGCCTTAATTTTCATCCTTTGTCTTGCCAAACTTGCTATCTGAAGCTCCAAAACCTTTTCCTTTAGCCTAGGATTGTGTATAATCACCTACCACCTGAACCACTCCTGGAGCCTAATTTCTTTGTGAAAGCCCTATGCATATTTAAATACTGGAACCTTTTTCTTTTGTTAATTGATCTGTTGTCATGTTTTTTGTTTATCTTTGCTTTAAGCCTGGGCATTCTAACTCTTGCCACTGAGCTGCATTCCCAGCCTATTATCAGTTTAATTTCCTGGATATTGGAGAATTTAGAAAGTGAAGCAAAAGGGTTTGTCCTTCCCTAAAATGGCATAAGAAGGCCCAAGGGTAATACATTATTGCATAGAAAAGACCCAAAGACAGTGAGGATGTTTGTTATACAGGTTCTTTGGTTTTCATCCTTTGAGACAAGGATAAGGGCCACCCCCTTATCCAAGCCTGTCTTGTTTTTTTGTGGTAGCATGCTAATTGGCCCTTACTTCTACACTTGCCTCCCCAGTGTTCACACAGCAGCCAGAGTGTTCTGTTAAAAACATAATTAGAATCATGAGTCTTTTCTGATTTAAAGATCTGCGTGCTTCTCACTGAGCATATGTATCTTCCATGTCTGTCCCAAATCCAAATCATTACCAAGCAGCCTTGGAATGCAGAGTTAGGGTGGATTATCAAATAAGCAACAATGTGAAAACCACTATCAATAAAAGGTATTTTAAATGCAAGGATAATTTTTGGAAGCTAAGATCAGTTTGTATTCCTTTTCCATTCCATTTATAAGTTGGAGCAATCATCTGATGGTGTCTTGAGGTTCCTAACTTCTTATCACAATTGTAATCTCTTGGTGGTAACCTCAGTAACTAGTTTAAGGAGGTACATGATTGGCTCTAAGGCAGAGTGCAACTCTCCATGTAGTAGAATCATTCCTAGAAAAGAAATGTAAGAGAGGGGCTCTGAACTCTTGACTTGAGGCTACCCTCATGTTGATCAACTGCACAGTAGTGGGCAGGTGTCTGGCCAAGGACTTAGAATCTACCTTTTCCCACCTATGTGCAGTTTTCATTATATGAAACTTTGTTTTGCACTCTGATTAGAGGGGAGTATCCAAGTAAAAGGATGGCAAAAAAAAGTAAAAAAAAAAAAAAGAAAAGAAAAGGTTATATTTTAAACACAAATTGTCATTATAATAGACGTAGCAGGATATAGTGAAGGAAAGCATTTAAACTTAGCTCAAAAAGTTAAAGTGTAGCTTTGCTGGTTAGAACCCAAAAAGACAGAAGAGAGGGTGATACTCATGGCCCCTAGAAAGGGCAGGGGGAAAGAAATCCCATGATCTCATTTGAAGGATTTTTCAAGTTGACTAAGATTTCTGAGCAGCCCAGATAACATAAGTAGGTGGAGGGAGGTGAGTTGTGAAGCTAGTTGGAGATTTTATCTAAGGACTTAAGACTCTCTATTTATCTAAAAGTCTAAGGCTTAGTCTTTGCAGAGGGTTTGGACATAGTGAGTAAAACCCAATTAACATCAGCAGCGCTCTGGACATTGGCAAACAGCAGCAAGGTGGAGGCCGATTTTGTCACCAGGAAATGTAGACGTGATCTGAGTGTTTTTCTTTACATTAAAAGATGATGGCCCTAATCCAATGAGAGAAGCACACATGATCAGAAAGCTGCAGACCATGGGGAAGACTAACATGCACTTGACGGTAGTTGGTGCTTTAGTGAGTCACCTAAACCCAGTCTGCTGTATTTGCTAGATGTAAGGCCCCAACTCAAATTAGCCTAACCCACTCCATTTTGTCTGGCAGAAAGACTATATTATTTTGCTTTACAGAAACTGTTTTTCTGAACTCAAGAGGACCCTCACTGACATCTTGTGTATTCTGACCACATGATGTCATAGAAAAGATTGTACAAGCTAATAACCAACCAGCCTAGTGAAACATAGAGAAATGACCATTCAATATTCTTGCTACGCCAGAACCAAAAAACAAAACATCAGCAGTATATTCCTTCTACATCTTAAACATTTATAAACCTCAGCCCTAACTGGCTGAGGTCATTCTGAGCCAATACTTCCTAATATAGGCCCCTTTACTCCCCTGGAAAGTGAATGAAACTTTGCTTCTGCTTCAATTCTTGTTTTCCTGTGAACTTTTTCATACCCCATGCACTGGCCACATGGACTGGGACCTGACAGTAGAGACTGGCTACTTTGAGGTTGATATGGTGCTGAAGTGTACTTTCTTTATTTTTAAATCCTTATTATAATTTTTTTCATCTTAATATAATGCATTCTTCTATAACATTATTACAAAAAAATTGTCCTCTCTCCCTCCCTCCTTTCTCTCCTTCCTTCCTTTCTTCCCTCCTTCTAAAACATGCTTCAGCTGGTGGTATGCCTTGGTCACATCTGTCTAATGTCTTGGTTTCTGACTTGTGAATTATGAAGGCCCAGCACCTCTCTGAGGAAGGTTGTGAGACCCCTCATGGGGAGCTAAGCAGCTGCTCAGCCATGTGAATTGCACACTTAGCCCAGTCACAGGGAAGGCAGACTTTATCCACAGATTTCTTTTTATATTTATAAGAAATAAATAGCCCTTGGTTTCTGTAGGCATAGGTGATTTTTCTTGACTATTTGAGGTCCAGCTGTGGCCTTCTATTAGTAGAAAGCCACAAAAACTCATCTCCATGTTGAGTCAATGAGTTATTTAAAGTTAAGCAATATGTTACTTGATTCTCTTAGTAAGTCTTGGGAGAAGGTTGGAAAAATGTCCCCAGAGGCCAAGCATTACATGGAGGTGGCAGCAGAAGTGATGGCATTGAAATTGGAATATTTTGGTTTCTGAAGATATAGGGAGATATCTTACAAAGGGAGATGGTTTACAAAGTTTTTAAAGGAAAGGACTGAAGTTCTTATTTACTTGTACTTTTTCTTTCACTGCTTCAGGAGAATAGAATTTTGGTAAATTGTTTACAGATTAAAACTTAATTTACAACTTATTTTCCTGATGTTAATCTTTTAATGGTTTCCCACTTTTCCAGTTTCCAAAATAAATAGTGTTGTAAATGCTAAGTTGGATATAGAAATAATGATCAATAGATTTCTTAACTTTTGCCCGGTTTTGCATTAACATTCTTTTGTGTGGTTTTCTTGTGTTTATCTGGCTTGCTATTCTTAGAGATTCTTCATTCTGTGACTTGAAACCTTCATCTTCTTTGGGAAAGACTTGGCCAGTATTTCTTTAAATATTGATTCTACTTCATTTTCCTTCCTCTTCCAGGTTTCTCGTATGCCAGGCTGTTTTCATCATGTTCCGTTTCTTATGTTTTTTTTTGTGTAGTTCTCTTTCTCTTCAATCTGGAGTATTTTTATTTTCTTTTTTCTTCACGATGATAATTCTCATCATTCATAAATTTTCTTCTAGTTATTTTCTACCTACCAGTCCTCCAGTTTACTAATTCTCTTTCCTAATCTCAAAATTTTGTCTCCCAGCTGAGAGACTGTTGAAATGTTTGTTCAGAATTATTAGAAACTTCAGGAAGACACCTGTGGCAGCCTCTCTGCTTGGTGTTCCTGAATTGTCCCTGTGCACATGCAGTTTGTGTATGCAAATACCAGGAGAGGAAAGGGCACAGGAGTAAAGTTTGCCTCTGTGCTGTTCCCTCCTTTCCAGGACTTTGGCTCCTCCACTCCTATCTACTTTCATAATGGAGCTATTCACACAATTGCTCTCAGGCTTTGTCTACTTGGAGGCTTTGTTCTTTGGAGGATGAATTGTTGGGAGCAGCCTCTTCATCAGAGACAGAACATTCTTCATGGATGACTTTGCCTTTTAAAAATGTTAAATAGGTTTATTGCAGTTAATATTTCAAACCATTTCACAAACTCAACTCACCTTAAGGTCTTACTCTAATGAAATCTTTTAAAGGGCTTTTGTAACTTGTTTAACAAAACATTTTAAACTTCATATATAAACTTAATATTCCATTTTTTCTTAAAAGATTTGAGCTGTTTAACTATTGGTTTGATTCCTTAATCATTTTCATACTTAATTTTAAATCTTCCTAGAATTAAAGTTTGGCTAAGAACTTTGGTAATTACATTTTTATAAACTCCAAAAAAATGTGGTGGGGGGTTATGACTATCATATAATGTGTTTATGCTGAAGAGGTGTATCATAATATGCTTTTAGGCCAGACAAGGCTAAACCTCATTCATCTATTTCCTGCTTAATGAGTTTTAAGTAATTTTGATATTCTATTGACTAATTAAGTTCCAACTGCTTCTGACAAATTTGACATGTAATTGGAATCTGTGTACATTATAAGTTCTAAGGATGTTATCACAGTGATGTGGACTGCCCTTTGGAAGGAATCTACTCATTACAGTTTTAAACAGACTTGTTTTAAACATACTGTTATCTTATGTTTATAATCTTATTTAGCTAAACTATCAACTTACTGTTGCTTTTTCCTCTACAGAAAGGGAGAATCTCTCCAGATGTCTTCCAGTAATGACCAGGTTTTTATCACAATGTCACAAAGAAACACCAATGGCCTTCCTGGAATGACCTCCAGTGACATGAAGACAATTACTGACGGGGCTGTGTTAAGTTTTCATAACATCAGCTATCAAGTAAAAGTGAAGAGTGGCTTTCTCTGTGGTCGGAAAACAGTTCAGAAAGAAATACTATCAAATATCAAGTACGTGCACGAACTTTTTAAAAACTTTCATTTTTCACCTACAGTGAACTTCACGGGTTTTGCATATTACCAGTAAGCTGCTGTGAACACTTGTGGACACATCTTTGTACAGATATAAGGGCACATACTTTCATGCTTTTTGGCTAAACTAGGAGTGAAATGATTGGATCACTTGTTAGGGATATGCCTTAACTTTCAACATTTTTAAAGGGGGTCGTACCATGGGCAGTGATCTTTGTTTGAGAAACTGCACAATTAATGTGCTATTTCATTTTTCATGAGCAAGTTTGTGTGTTTTGGTGGAAAGAGGCCTGGCTATATGATTTTAGACTTTTGATTGTGGGAATGTAATTGTAACCTCTAAGGTTCAGTGTGTCTATTTCTGAAACAGAAGATGCATTGAGGCAATGATGTACTTTCTGACCATACACATTTTAGCTATTTGTACACTTTATATAATTTATATTCTAGTAACAAGAAGGTTAAAATGATAGCATATAGTGAAAGTCCTTTGTTTTTCAAATAGATCTGTTTACATGCATAGCCTATTTGTAATAGTTTGTAGTCTATACCAATATACTTAATTCCGTTCCTCCATAATAAAGACAGATAGAGAACTAGAGGTGTGGCTCAAGCAGTAGAATGGTAAAGTGTTTGCCTAGCAAGGTGAAGCCCTGAGTTTAAACCTCAGTACCACCACCACAAAAAAAAAAAAAAACACTTAAATACCAGAAAACTATAATTTAGTTGAAGTCCAAAATGATGAGAAATTAGGATCCAAATCAATGCAGTCAATTCTACTTTAAAAGCACCAAGTAATTATGATTTTCATTTTTTTATACAGCAGTGAATTCATAGTTCAGAGCATGGTGTTGTAGTAGGAGCTAGTGTGGAGAGGGAGTAACCATTTCTACAGAGTCTACTCACTATTGGGTAACTCCTATTCACAGGAGCTAGCCATTAGGGTTGTCAATGGTCTTTTACTTCTAGAGAATATGGCCTATGTGTTTTGTTTGTTTATTGGGGAAAATAATTATTCCTAGACAAAGCAAGCAAGTTTTTTTTGACTCTCCAAAGCTAGGGGAGCATTTATAAAGAGTCCTTTGACTTGGTATGGGCAGCAGACTTATGTGCAGGTGTTTCTCCTATTTCCTTGATGTTTTATAGAGGACTATAATCTTTTCTGTTAATGCTAGCCTACTTTCTTCATAGGGCAAAGAAATGGCAAGATAGCATAGAAAATTATTGGGCATGGGTGGGAAAGAAATGATGAGAATCACAGAGTTAAATGAGAAGTGCAGGATTAGAACTCTATCCAGGAGCAACACTTGCTGTCATGCCTACTTCTCATCACTTTTTTGTGTTAGTTAAGGAATCCTAACTAGAAGAATAAGGAATGGCATGGTGGATCCAAAGCTTTTATCTTTTGCTACATGTTTAGGTAGAACTGACTTAATGAAAAAATGGACAGGCTTTTTCTAAAGCATAATAATCAAGAAAATGTTGGCCACTTCAGATTTGTGCTGAAAGAGGTAGAAGGTAACATGCTTTGAATATGTACCAGTTGAATAGGTGTAGAATGCATCCTGTGAGCACACATTGTGTGTTTTTGTGTGTGTATGTAGTGTTAGAGATTGAACCCAAGGCCTTGATTATGCTAGGCCAGTACTCTACCACTGAGCCATATCCTAAGTTCCCCTTGCTGCTTTGCAAGCTAGTAGACTAGTGACTCCATAACTAAGTGTCTCCTGTGATCCAGGCTTTGCAACATGTTTATGGCTTAATAGCCAGTGAGCATCTCAGCAAGGGAGGAGGTCATTGTCATTGTCTTGTGACTTCATAGGCTCATAAAGTGCAATCAAATCTTAGATTTCTTTTTATAGTTATAAGTACAGCTAGGGTTGGTATTTGTGCTTACATCTCTTTTTGGGTATCCATGAGAAAATTCATCCCTTTTGGCTATACTGTTTCCAGTCTTTCTCCTGTCTTCTTAGTGTCAAATAAGTAGAATTTCTGGAGTATAGGAAAGGTTGCTTTCATTATCTTATTTATATTTGATAACACCATCACCACTCAAAACAACAACTACAATCCAAAAAAAGCTGATGAAAATCTTTAATGTTCTTTGGAGTTTTGTTTTTCCTTTCCTTTTGTAAGAAGATAAAAGGAAAAACACAATCTATCCATGAGAATTCAAAAAAATTCCTCCCTTATTTATAATCTTTCTCTTATGCTTAGTTCATCTCCATACCTGCACTTTTTCTCAACAGGGCTAAAGATCTATGGAAGAAATCATCCATTCCAGTAGGTGAGGGAAATCCATTATACTTGCTAGAAGATTGTTAAATAAATAGTTTATTTTGAAGTTATTTCCAAGTTAAGCTTTGCAGGAAGATACTCCTTTTGCCCACATTCCCTAAATGTCCACATTTTAGTTCATTTATTTCTATCACTGTGTTTCCTTATGTACCCATTATCTTTAGTGTGTTTTGGGACCCTTTTGAAACTAGACTGTCCACTTGGTGCTCCTTTATCCCTAACTCTTCTAGTATGTATTTTCCAGAAAGATGTGCCCTTTCCTATATAATCACTCAGTCATCGTTTGGAAGTAGTTGACAGGAAAGTTAGCCTCAGAACAAAAGCAGTAATGGTCCCAGGGGCCACCGGTCACTGTGCTTTTCACATAGATGACTGAACACCACATCATGTTTTTTCACTCTCACCTAACCTGGTAAATCTTAGCCTCTTTCAACCTGGTATCCCATCCCACCCCAGGTGATGTTAAAAGTCATCACTTGGTCATGTTGCTATGTGTCACACTTCACCACAATGTTGTAATTTTATTCTTTGTACTTGATTGGTGTTAAGAAGGAAGATATTCTAACATTATTCCATGATCTTGTTCCTCATTAAACTTGGAGTCAGAAATTGCATTCCTTACTGGTAACTGCTGTGTGCCTCAGCTACCACTGAGATAGTTGTCGAAGGGCAGTTTTCTGTTCTTATCATCTTTTATTTTGTATTCTACTACGTGGGAAGAACTTCATTCATCACCTCTTCTTTCATTTACTGTAGACTCATGGATACATATTTTATTCAATAGAAATGTGTTATTATTTATCTTCATATTTCTGTTGTTCCTGATGAATAGTGGGAGAACTTTCAAGGTGGGTTTCACCTTCCTCCCTCATTCTTTGACTTGCCTCTCATTCTTGAGCATTTTCTTGGCACAGAAGTTTTAGACTTACTGTTTACTTAACCTACTACAGACCTGTAACCAGCTGGTCTTTTTTTTTTGTGGAGAATGATATTTAGAAACCAGAGTCTATGTGTTTAGAATGCTCATCGGTGTTGGAATGTCATTGCTTCTAGGCTTTCTTGATGGAAAGAGCGAGGGAACATATGTATGCATATGCCTGTATCTATAACTCTGTTTTTAAAAAAATACCTCACATGTGCAAGTATACTTGGATCTGGTCAGGTAAGAGGAGTGGCGAGTGGCAGCTCGACAGCACAGCACTCTGGAACTTTTCCATCTAACTTTCTCTACTTCTCATTAATGCACTAATTCTAATTTAACATCTTGAATTCTTTCTACATTTTCATGTTCGTAAATCTTCTCAAAAAGAGGAAAATCCTATTGTTATTCTTAATATCCTTAGTGATTTGCTCAATTTTTTAATTCTCTAATATAAGTATCTGTCCAGCCTCTAACTGCCCTCTGTATTCCTTATTCCCCCAACCTCTCTTCACAGCCTGTGGTTTTGGGGGCTGGCTGTTACTGCACCTCTACCAAGAACTTCTGTCATCTTCCTACTGAGAAAGGAAGGGGAAGTTTAATAGAGATGATTGGCACATTATTAGAACAGGAAATAACAGATGGGACTGTAACTAAGATTTCTTTCCAGTTATAATATATCTATTTTCAGTAAGTTGTTTCCTATTGCTTTTTTTTATTAATTGAATTTATTTTTAAGTAGCACATAAAAATATAAAATTATACATATCAATGGGATTATTTCCTAATTCTTGGATTTTTTTTATTGGAATTTTTTTTGTTTTTTTATTGAACATTTTTTTTGTTTTCTTAGAAGTAATTTCCACTTAAAAAATATGAGATTCATTGATTCAACAAATTTTGAATGCTTACTAGGCTACTGGCATATAAGAGGTTGGTGATACAAATATGTGGCCTCTTTTCAGAAACCTTGTTTTTTAAAGGGGCATTGAGAAAACTAAAGTACTTTCACTATGTCTTTCTGCTGTGACAGAAGGAGTAAAAGACACTTCAGAAGTCCCTAATCCTGAATGGGAGGGTTGAGGAAGTGAAGGCATTGTGTGTGAAGGGAGGTGAGTCATGCTCCAAGAACAGTCTTTACCTCCTGTGTCCATAAACAAAACAAGATCAAAGGATTGACCATTATCCACTCAAATGCAATAGGAGTGACAGGGATTCCTTGGGTAAGTTTTGTTTCATGTATTCAGTATTCAGTGTGCTGCACGTCATAGTCCCCTCATGAGGAATGGTCACGGTGTGTCATAGTTCTTGATAGAGATGTTTTACAATGTAATGAGAGAGAACTACAGCATGTTAGTGCTGTAAAGCCATAGATAAGAGTGGGGAATGGCTTGAGAGGGATGATAGAAGGGTGGAGGGTAGCGTGCAGAAACCAGGGAAGTACAGACCATAGATTAGGTCAGGAGTCAGCAAATTCTTCTTGCAAAGGGCCAGGTCATAAATATTTTTAATATCATGGGCCATACATCATGTTGCAACTAAACTATCTTTATTGCATGAAAGTCACTATAGACCCTATGTAAACAATGAGCTTGGCTTTGTTCCTGTCACATGGTTTATGAGAACAAAGAACAGGTGACCAACTAGTGTGTGGTGTAAGAGGACTAGGACATTGTTTTTTGGTTTTTTTTTTTTCCATTTATTGTCTGCTTGTTTTGTTCTCTGCTGTATCACATGTCCTGTAAGAAGCTTGTATATACATAGCAGGCACTGATTAACTATGTTGAGTGAATGGAGATAGAATTAGCCACTGCTCTAGATGGGAGCACTCATATTTGTGGTGCCACATTACGATTTTGTGAAATATTTAGTGTCAATACAGGCCAACATATAGACCTGTACAATTCTTTGCCTTAACACATTCATGTTCAGTTTCTGATAAATCATTCTAGATTTCTTAGTTTTTATCTAAGTAGGTATTTAAAAGCCTGGAAAGTTCTTTAGGAAATGAAACCTCAGTGAGTAACAGGCTTGTTTCTGATCATTTTAGAAGCAATTATGAGGGAGCTATAAATAAAGGAGCTACAGATAGATGTATTATAAAAGTTTACCCAATTATTACTGGGTTTTTATGTTGGATAATGGTGGAAGGACAGTAAATGAGTAAAATTTTTCTGTGTTACAGCTTACTCCAGGTTTACTGAACTCTCATCATATTTGTACATTTCAGTGAGAGGTACTTCAGTTAATGAGCAGAGCAAAAGAAACATTTCAATTTATCTCCCACCAGCCATTACATAATTGTGACTGTTCAGGTACAACAGACAGTAAATGCTGAGGTCTTCTTCTTGGATTTAAGTATGGTGACCCAGGATTCCCTGAGAAGGTTATACCTCATGACAATTGTGTAATCACAGGATGGACTTCTGTGGCAATCACTATCAGAGAAAGGAAATAGTTGTCAACTTTGTCCTTTGCAGTTGGAATAGATACTGCTTTCACTGTGGAATCCATCTTGGTCTACTTTCCAATTCTATAGGCTGAACATAGATAGCAAGGTTTTGGATAGGCTAAGTCAGCTTCTGTTTCATCATCCCCATATACCTGCACTGGCCCTGCCTTTAATTGTCCTTTCCCCAGTTCACTGTATTTAGCTATGTCACCTGCTATATTCAGAATAACATTCAAACTACTTGCCTTCTTCTTGGGTCTCAACACATCAACATTGTTGTAACTTATTTTCCATCTTCCTTCAATCTGAACATTCACTGCCCTCACTCATCCATTCAGATGGTTGAAATACATTGATGTCTTCTGTGCCAATGAACTATTAAAGAATGCCTCCTGCTATAGAGGGATCTCCCAATTCTAAATGAGTGTGTTTCCATCCCCTCATTAGACATTTAACACAGAAAGAAATGATCTGTTTTAAGGCTGTATGTTTGGCTTTTCTAATTGGAAGGACATTTTTCTTGAATGTTAAGTACTGTGATACTTTCTTATCCCCTGGAGTGCTTAACTCTAGCCTTTGGGTTTACTACTAAAGATGTGTTGAGTTTTAGTTTGATTAGATATTAGTAGTGAGGTTATGCAAATTGTGATTAATTGTGTAGAACTTGAGTAAATGGCAATGGGGTGAGCATCAACATTACGCGAAAGCTGCCTGTACTTCACAGTGTGTGAAAAGGCATAAGTGGAACAGAGATTTTTTGAGAATCCATGTTAACTTATTTCAAGACTCTTATATAAGGATCTGTTACTTTTCAAGCAACCTTTTTTATTGTTGATGCTGGGTATTGAACCCAGGGTCTCATTTGTGCCAGGCACCAGCTCCACCACTGAGTTTTATCTCCAGCCCAATTTCAAGGAACCTTGAACACTCGATGTGTCATTTTTCAGAAGGTGTAAATGGTTCTAAGAAAGTTAGAAAAAAAGAATAAGTGAATAGAATTTGGAGAGATGTGAGACATTTTTCTTATAGTTGTTGGCTAGTGATTAACGTCCGTTGTATGCTAGACTTCTATTAATCAACAATTCTTTGTTTCTCTTTAAGAGTTGGTGCTTGTTCAGGTCACGTTGAAGGGAGGTCACTAACAGGAGAGGAAGGATAAAAGAAGGAAGTTAATAAGCTGAATATAGTTGATGTATTTTCTATATAAGAATGAATATAGAATTTTTGAATCTGTTGAAATCACCATAAGAAGGACTAAGGTATAAAGGAGGGCATATATAGAGGGCATGAACCAATTTGGGTTATATATATATATATATAGAAATGTCACAAGGAAACTCCTGTGCAGCTATCTTATACAAACAAGACAAAAATGTCTTTTTTTCAAAAAAGGACAACAGGAATGTAAAACAGGTCCTGTCTGGAGGTTGGCACTAGTGGGAGAGGGAGAAAATCAGGAAACGGTATAGGCAGATGAATATGGCAAAAATATTACATACTGATGTACGAAAATGGAATAATGAGACCTATTGAAACTATTTCAGGTATGTGGGAAGGAAAGATAGAGGAGAATGATGAGGGGGTGAGTTCAACTATGATACATTGTAAGAACTTTGGTAAGTGTCACAATGTACCCCCAGTTCAACAATAATAATAATAAAACAGAGTTGGTGCTTGTTTTCTGTTTACAATTTCATCAGCGTTCATTGAGTATATTCAATGAAGATCCTAAAATAGTAGAACTTCACATAAAGGGTAACAGTAAATGAATATGCTTTTGTGTTTACAGTGGGATCATGAAGCCTGGGCTCAATGCCATTCTGGGACCCACAGGTGGAGGCAAATCTTCGTGAGTATAACAGGAAGCTTTAGTAAGCCTTCTCTGTGCAGTTCAGTGTGCTGTTAAATATTGAGTTTACATGAGCAGGTATTGGTTGAACATTTGTTATGTTTGTCTGCTCTGGTCCTAGATGATGTGGCTAATAGGAAGTTGGGTGAGCTTGGTTTTTGTCCAAAGGATCAGGAAGTCCTATTAGGTCAACTTTACTAATAGGCCATAAATAGTGGACTGGCATACAATTTTGGGCCATAGTATGAGCTAATGGGGAGGGAAAAGAAGAGGGTACTATTAAAAATAAAGAAATGGAGCAGAAGATATAACCAAAGGCATAAGTTTTAGATACAGGGCACATTGCCTGGATTTTGTTTACCGAGGTCTGACATACAGAAGAATCACTGTAGAGGCCTATGCTTCATGAATTAATGTTTTCTTGATTTTCTGTTTTTGAGCTTTCTTATAGCACATAATGAAATGGAAACTGAGAATTTGAACATGTATGCATATATTTGTATATGATTTTAGTTAAGTGACCGCTTCCTTGACTAAATTGTTTAATTTCAGCAGAATTTGAATTCAGAGTAATTAAGCAATGTGGAAGGCAAAACAAAAAGTACAACATATATTATTTTATAGGTTGTTAGATGTCTTAGCTGCAAGGAAAGATCCACATGGATTGTCTGGAGATGTCTTGATAAATGGAGCACCTCGACCTGCCAATTTCAAATGTAATTCAGGTTATGTAGTACAAGTAAGTATTAGTAGATTTGCATTTCTGTTTCTGGGTGGGCAGGCAAGTGACTTGGCTTCCACATGATTGTAGGACAAGCTCATAGAACTAAATTTCTCTACACCAGTTTTCATAATCTCCCCTTAGGGTGAGAGTGGTGTTAAATGGAAAGGCATAAGATCTGGAATATGACCCTTGTAGGTGGTTGCAGTAATTCTAGCTGTTAATCATTCGAAAATGTACTACTGCTGTTCTTTTAAAGGTGTTGCTTCACCTTTGTCCTCCTCCTAGATGTTTTTGGCAAATCCTTGTGCAAAGGAGTGTGGAAATGTTGGTATTAGTTATCACAGTTATCTGTGTTTACAGATGGAGGTGAAATGATTCCACTGGGATCTACAGGTGTCTGTATGTAGGGTTACTGCACTTTCTAGAGTTAAAAGTTCACCATTAGGTAGAAATGTGGGTCTTTTTATGGATTAAGTCACATATACTGGAGTGATAGGGACGGTCATAAAAAGCCTTGATATGTGTCACTGAAATTCCATTTTGCCTTAAGGATGATGTCGTGATGGGAACTCTAACAGTGAGAGAAAATTTACAGTTCTCAGCAGCTCTTCGGCTTCCAACAACAATGACGAATGATGAAAAAAATGAACGAATTAACCTGGTCATTAAGGAGTTAGGTCTGGATGCAGTGGCAGATTCCAAGGTAATGTGAAAAAAAAACCTAATAGAATCATATCCAGAAAAAAGGGACCTCCAGACCTCTTCTGTGTGGATATCATGACCTTGAACAGAAGTTTTCCATAACATATATGAAGAAAGTGAGTGCTCTTGGTAAAGAGAAAACTGAACAGTTTCTTTATAGAAAGGGGGAAGTTCAGCGGAGACACTGAACGATGGTTGAACCCTGTGCGTGGAGTCTGGTCTAGTATGGAAAAGCCCTCCCCACATGGCTCTTTTGCAGGGTCCTTCCCCACCCTCATGTTGAAGTCATGGCTCACTTGATTGATGTCCTGGCACTAACTTTTCTTCTTCCTGTTTTTCTCTTTCCCTCTTTAGTTGCTCTTCTTCCTCTCTTCCTCCAGGGAACTTTTTCCATTGCTTTTTTGAGGTACATTTCTGGAATTGAGAAGTGACAAGAACCCAAAGACTCTTATTCTGTATGTTTTACTTTGTTGTAGTTATACTTCTGAAATTATATTCAACCACATTAGGATTTACTTACTTGTGCATTGCTCAAGTTATTTTTCTCTGACCTTTCTTTTGAAAGTTTTTATCTTTCATCCTTTCCTTCCTGCTTTATCTTCTTCCTTGTCTTCTGCCAATATTTATTTCCAGAAGCTTATCTGCCAAGCTCTGTTAGGCTTTAGGGATATGATTGTGAGCAAGAGTAATGAAGAGTGGACAAAGTAGCTCTTCTTTGCTTTTCTTTTTTTTTTTTTTGTGGTACTGGGGTTTGAACCCAGGGCCTTGTGCTTGCAAAGCGATCACTCTGCCACTGAGCCACACATCCAATCCATTTTTCTCTGGTTATTTTAGAGATGGTGTCTTAGGAACTTTTTGCCTGGGCAAGCCTCCAACTTTGATCCTTCCAATCTCGGCCTCCCAAGTAGCTAGGATTACTTGTGTAAGCCACCAGTGCCTGCCTTAGCTCCTTCTTTTGTGGGTGCTCCCCATCAGGGAGAGGAATTGAGATGATGAGTGAACTTTGAATTGACCAGCACTCTGGAGGTTGCTGAGCAGACATTGGAGCATCTAGTAAAAAATGAGCCATTTAGAATGAAATGCTGTGGTGTAACCCCTGTGATTCCCACCTTGGGCAATGAAGAATGGGGCTTCACTGGCTGCTGCCACCATGGTACTTGTGGTATCTTCATGTGAAGAATATTTTGTTAGCAATAACCTTGAGACTCCATCATTAACTACTCATTTTTATTTCTGAGTGATTGAGTTTTCTTTGCTTTGGCTCCATTTATTTACTGTTTTTTGTCTTTCCAGGATGGCACTTTATTTTATGCGGTTCTTTATCTTTTCTCCAATGCTCGGGATTATAGGGCTTCATGAATCTCAGACAAACAAAATCTACCACTGAGCTATACCTTTGCCTTATTTTTCACTTTTAAGCAGTCAGTGCCCTAATTTGCCTTTTTTTTTTGTATTTCAGGGAAAATACACAAAGACATTGTTGATCTCTTAGAATTCATATAATCTAAATTATTGAAATACTTTTTTTTTTTTACTTTTCGTGAAGCTTTATACATGACACAAATGTAAAGAAG